TATATTTTTAGCAAATTGTCACCTGCGTGATATCGGGTAGGTGACATGTCGGGGAAATAGCTTTCGGGAAATCGTACTGTAACCCTCTAAAACATCTATTTAACCACGAAATGAAGCAATTAATCATGATACCATTACATTTAAATTGGCTAGTAATATTGACGGTATATTTGGGCCCTTAATTGTAATAATTTTTAAATATCGGGCCTTTATCTGTAATTATTTTCATTTTGGGCCCTTATTTGTAAGTATTTTCGTTTTTTGGGCCCTTATCTGTAAATTCCCCAATTATTTATACCCAGTTCCAACACATTTTCTTGGCAACTTATTTCAGTAACCAACTAATATTAATAGAGGTATCAGGCTAGCCATTTGTTAGAGATATGGAACTGGTGTGGCAGAGAGCCGTGTCAAAAATTCACTTTTTATTTTTATTAAGCATTTTTTAAATGTAATTGATATTTTGACTGACTGTGATGTCCGATACACTAAAGAACTCGACTATTCTGATGAAATAGTAAGATAACCATTGTCAAATGGGGTTTGAACTGAAAAATGAGTAAAAGGAATTTATCTGTTATCAAAATATTCTGAAAGGAAAACGATGATTGAATTTAAAATCAAGTATCGAAATGGATTTTGAGTTGAAAAAAATTAATATATATGGTTTATAGTATCAAAAACCCGCTTATTAAAGATCTGACCCGATAAACTGAAATACAAACATATAAATCATTCACTGATTAATTTGAATAGGTTTTCATTTTTCTGATTAGATTAGAGCTCTAATCACGCCTCTAATGAGTTGCCTTATCCATTTTTTTTTCTTTATCATTGTACAATTGTACAGCACATTACATTTTACATGTGACAATGACAGTTGACTTAATGGTGCCTGTACCTTTAACAATGCCTGGCACTTTGTATCAATGCTTATGGTAATGTCTGACACTTTCCATGGCGTACCGGAGTATACATAGGACCGGGTTCGTGTAACATGATCCGTTGCATGAATTGCGTGTCTTAAATAATAATAAAGGATCGAAGATTAATAATATTTTGCATCTAAGTAATAAACGTTCTAATTAAAAAACTGTGTTTGCAGTAATCTCTTGGTGGAGTACTTGGAACGATACTCTTTTAGTTAGTGCGAATTGTGTAAAAACCCCCTAATTACGAAAGGCTATTCGATAATAGTGCTTGGCACTTGGTGTCATGCATTTAATAGTTCCAGTAATCTGTCTTCCATATATAGGCATAAAAAAGTATCTGAATCTCGGTTTATACAATGTCTTACACATAATATATTTTGCCAGTGTCTTTGACATTATCAAGTCGATATGAGTGCTATCAAATTAAAACGGGTCTAGTACGGAATCCGACATCCAAAATCTCGACATGCCATAATACTGACATCACGCGACGTGACAATTAAAAATTTAAAGTCTGACAATAATTGTTAATGTGATTACTAATCTTTAAATATTAATTGTCATATCGCATGATGTCAGTATTATGGCCTGTCGAGATTTTGTATGTCGGGATTTCGTGCTAGACCCATTAAAACCTGTAAATATCAGAGTTGCTATAAAACGTCACGGGCGACAAATAGATATATCAAAAAATTTTTCATACAGTATAATGTAATATGTTGATTTTATGTTAAGTCCGATGCGAAGAAAAAATTTTTTACAACTTTTAATTTGTATACGCAATAAAAAAATTATGCAGTAATTATGCAGTAATTACATAGTAAATACCGAAAATATATCGAAAATATACCAAGATGTTGCAAAAACAGAACGTTTTGAGTTAATTTATATATATATATAAAATATATAGAAAATATTAATAGTTTTTATAGGGATGTAAATGTAACTTTCGCAGCAAAATACTGAAATACACTTACTACTTAAAACGACTCTGTTCAACATCGAGTTTTATCAAGATCCAGGTTTGTGAATCATATATTTCATCGACACAAACAATTGCAACAAAAAAAGAATCATATTAAAAAGTTTCTATTTAATACTGTTCAAAATAACTGTACCAGATTAATTTTATATAGTGTAAAATAGACATGCCACCGAAAATACAAAATTTTGAGATGCATGTTTTGATTTTAGCATTAGGGTAGCTTTAGGGGTAGAATTTATAGTAAACAAGTATAAGTGGGTTTTAGGAGGTTAAATAGAAACTCTAACGCTAAATGTCATTTTAATCCGATTTCATTTTGATCCGCGATATTTAACGTTGTGCACGTTGCACAGTAGTATATATATGTTATATAACATTCAGTGTATCATAAAAACTCGAAAAGTCCAATTTTCATTACCGTTATGGCCGTTGTTTTAGTGCTGAATCATGTAAATTAATTTTATCATCACAAGAAATCCATACGTACAGTACGTACTTTTCCGAGATAGTCTATTTTCATTAATTATGAAACCTCCCAAATAAATTAATTACTAAGCATTAATATCTAACTATTTGCAGGTATAACATGCAGATCAACTTTGTTGAAAATAAACCATACACAACTATAGTATAGAAAACATGTTGGTTTAAATAGAATTTGAGCCAATAATATCTATGATATCGTGTGATTACTAAGATTAAAAGTGATTATTTGCTAGTGATTTAAAATTGTTTATTAATCGCTTATGAGTTATTTATCAGTTTTTATGAGTAGTGCTCTGAATAAATTAAACCAAAGACAACTCGAAATGACCTGATTATAGTAAATTTATTATAGATCATGATTCATATATCACTTATTTTTATATATTCACAAAACTCCACTAAAAATTTTCGCCCATATGTTTAGACTGATCTGTTAATTCTGGTCAAATGATCATAGGTATTCAGTAAAGTAGTACTGTACGCTAGTACAAATTCGGACGGACATACGAAATTGTAAAATTCAATTTTTATAAGTAACCATTTTTAATAGTTAGGGTGAGCGCTAGTATTGTCCTTTTTTCCTGTTGGGTAATTAGTATAAATAACATGGGCTTGACGAAGTTTTTCTTTTACAAACCGTACGTACCATCTTGATTTCTACACGTCCGTCCTAATTTGCGTTTCCGTACCGTACTACTTTACTATCTGCTATATCGATATACCCAATGATCATGTAAGCTAAAGTACTGTACGTACGTACGGGACGCACGCACTTATTTGCGCGAGTAATACAAACCCTAAAAAGGAAATGGTCAATCGGAGTACATAAAATTTGACTGTTCCGGATCAGCCCGACATGAATTCTGAACACGTGAGAAAGAAGAAAAAGGCGAAAATACTCAAAAACTAGTGTTTAAATCGACATTGGTACACTAATTAAAAATGTCGGAAACGAAATTTTAGCCGCTAATGTTAACGACCTAACCCTAAACTTCTATCTTTACGCACTTAGTTTATTTGGTTTGTGTTACTAGTAGGGATGGGCAATTATATTATACCGTATAATAAAAATGGTATAATAACCCGTATAATTGGTATAATATAATTAATA